AAAAACATTTTTCATTTCCTTAAAATTGAAGGTTCTACAGTAAAATAATAGGAGTGCTGTATACCTTATATTAGTTTATACAACAAGAAAACTCATCAACGATCTACCTTTGCATGATAATGTCACACAAGAAAGTGTCACAAACTGATTCACTGATAATTCCTTCTGCTCCATGATTTCTCTGTCAAAGTAAACCTTTACCTTTCTTTATTTACTTCATATATTCATGACTGTACTATTACATAGTTTAGGCAGGAAAGAAGAAATCTACTATGGGCACTGAAGCATTCACAGAATCACAGAATCACAGAATGGTAAGGGTTGGAAGGGACCTCTGGAGATCATCTAGTCCAACCCCCCTGCCAGAGCAGGGTCACCTACAGCAGGTTGCAGTCACCTACAGCAGGTTGCATTCTATCTAAACTATTAAAAGCTAAAGCTAAGGAATATGAAAAGTCAGACATTCAACTCCTGAGAAAAGTAAGTTTAAAACTCAAACTGAAATACTGTCCTTATAATAACCTCCTGTACCTACAGCTTCCAGGAACCAGCAGAGTTACCATCACCAACACCACAACATATATGGTACAGTAAACAAAGATGATGAATCAAGAAATTAAATTAGCTGTAGCTTATTTACAGCTGAAGATACATGAAGATTTGCTGCCACCTATATATTGCTTTTTTTCTGGATTAATCAAAAATAAAGAAATTCTTAAAAAAAAGGTATATAGATTGCATTCACAATTACATCAGAGTAGGTACGTAAATGGCACAGCATATTATACTTTCTTTGTGGAATAACTCCTAGTGACATAGAATAGAATACAATCATGACATAGAGAACCCAAGAGAACAAAATTTTCTGTTCCCCCTGTAATACAAGGAAGAAAATAAACCTTTTGTTCTAATTCTTTGTGATCATTATTCTCCATTTTCTGGGGAAGAATTCAGACATCATATTGCCAGGTACTATACAGATAAATGAAGATGCAGGTGAACAAATTGTTCTTCACCTCTATCTTTCCATAATTAAAGGAATGCGGTGCAATCGTTATGTAATGACAATATGTCTGCAAAGGGACTGACATTAACTCCGGAAGATACTGAAAAAATAATAAGCAGTTTTCTATTAAAAGTCGGTTATTTATTACAGTTACCAGCAATTAGGTAATAACTGCAGTTAAGCACTGTCCTTTTAAACCATCACTAGAGTTACCTGAATTTGAAAGCTGATGCTCTCAGCAGTAGCACATCAACAAACAAGCAAAGACTACATCTGTATCACTAGTCTCCATTTGATTGATTCACTAAATTGATTTCCTTTTCCTAAAAACAAACAAGGAATTGCAGCAATGGCAATGCAAATAAATGAATTTGTGGGGTTTTTTTTTCCCCTATCTGTGGTGGGTGTGGTGGTCTGTCATTTTGGAAAATTTAATGCGCACTCTTGAATTACACAGCCCTCTTTGCAGGTAAGCATTTAATTTGGGTCATCGCAGAAATCCCAAATGGTATCTATTTGAACAAAGAGAGAACCTCCAAGTCTTAATTAAGGCAATCTTTTGTGTGAAATATTGTACTCAGAGGTCTAACTTCATGTTGATACTATAAGAATGAAACATAAAGTCACAAATCTGGCCTCTTGACACAGCTACCCACAAACACACAGGCTTCATGCAGTAGCTAAGAATTAGAGAGTTGATGAAAAAAAAAGCATGATCATTTCTTTCATTAAAATGTGTGAATCAAAATACTGTGGACCTGTATTTCCCGAGGATATTTTCATAGCTAGGTATTTCTGCCCACTCAGCTTGTAAGCATGTATTCGATAACATTCAGCTTGACTTTTGAAGAATGCCAGTGGGTTTCCTTCATTTTTTTCTCATATGTAGACAATGGATGCCTGCAGCCTGTATGCAACAGAAGCATTTTTTTTGCATATAAGGAAAGAGAATGAAAAAGTACAGCAAATAGAAGGAAAAATATGATTTGTATGTCTTTAGTTTTCTGTAGGAAACAAAACCAGACTTGCAGATGTCTGTGAATGAACTTGCTGTGGTCAATCCTATACAGCTTTTCAACTACTCATCTAAATACAGAGATTATGACTGGCATCAGGTAGCAGTAACAGAAAATGGAGGAGAATCCAGACAAATATCTGCTCCTATATTGTCATTTTTCATCCCTCAAAATGCTGAAGCACTCTGGCCAAATCCTGAAAGGCTCTCATACACTGCAGGATTTGGCCAAAGAAATAAAAGTCTTGCAAGAGCCAGGCCTTATATTGTAATGGTCGATGTTTATTTGGAGTCTTACTTCCACTCTCTGTTACTTCCACTTAACTTCAGGAGTATCAACAGTGCTGCTGATTTCAGTGAGGGTTTTCAGGAGCCCAGAGCTCAGCATGAATTCAAATGGTTTGCTGGCATTAACTCATATCATCTGGCAGAAATGTCCCCGTTTTGCTTCAGAAACAGATTACATGGACTCTGCTTAGGAAATAGCTCCCTCTTCTGTTCTTACTGAAACCAAACCAGTCCTCTGAAAGAAGGAAACTATTTCAAACCAGTTACTACAGCAATGGAGCACAGCACCGCGTACACCGCACAAAAGAGTGCACTGGGGTTGTCCCCTTTCTGCCCAGCTTCTCCCTTTCTGCCCATTCCACAATCACTGCATAAGGTTGGAAGTGTCAGCACGTCCAGCTACAGCTGAGTGAAGTTAGTACAACAGATTTCTTGGTCAGACACAGTCTTCCCAAAGAATTTTATACAGTCCAACATGCCTTTGATACTCATAAATAATGTTCAATTCAATTAATTCATTGATTATCAAATACCAGGAATACACTACTCTTCTCAGCTTTGTTGGGGAGCTGTCAAAAGTCCACTGAAGCTGTATTCTCTACCTCAATGTATGCTCAGGGTGAAGTAATAAACCATCCTGAAACGGGAAAGGATGAAGTAATGGGTTAATGATACCTTATATGCCCTGTCATGCTATATGAAACAAGCCCTGTATGGAGTCAGCACCGTTGCTTCTGCTTCCCAGTGACTTACAAGCTGGCTCTCTTCATTCGCACCCGGCCATGCAAGACAACAAATCCTTCTGGAAGCAGAGTATCAAAGGCGGATCTGCAAGCATCAGTCCCAGTTCAGCAACAGTTGGACTTGTACTGCGTGGGTTCAGCTGTTACCTGACACAGCTCAGCTTTCCAGTACGGCACATAATGGAGAACTGACCTCTTGTGGATTTTAAGACTTATGACTGCGGTACTTTGGCCTGCTGTTCAGTAATCTTTTACAAATGAAGTTAGCCAACACAGGTAAATAACTGCATAATGCTAGTTGCTTTTTGGTTCCAGACAGGCAGCAAGTGCCACTCCTGGCCCATCTGCAGCTCCAGTAACTCCCCAGTAAACTCCCACAGCCCCTAACAAATTTGGAGGGACCTAGTATTACCGTTCCTTCCTCATGATCTCAACAGGCCGTCAACACACTGTGTCTCGTTTATAAGAAATTAAATAGGAAAACAAAATTGTAATAATAATTCAAAAAATCTGTGGTTGCAGTTTTAGCATATTAATGAGGTTTTTCAGCACTTAAAAAAAAAGCAACAAACCTGGCTGTGGTTAAATTTAGCACAACAGAAATACTGCTTTATGGCCCACAGAAGGGGATATTGGCATGTGCCTTAGTTTATGGAGCAGCAGGCGATATAAGGTAAAAAATATTTCTACCAATTATAACACACGCTCACCTCTAGCACTGGGAGTGCACCACAAAACCAACACTCAGGGTGCCTGAGCCCTGTGCATGACTTCATTATTGACATGCTGTGTGACCTGTAGCATCCATGTTTCTCTCTACCTGCTTCACTTTTCCCATCTGTAGTACAGCCAGAGTGATACCCACCCCCTGCCTGAAGTTGTTTGAGAGCCACTGATGAGGAATGCTAGATAATGAGGCAGCAGTTTTTATTATGCAGATTTTATATCTGGACGGACAGGGCACAGTTGCCCTGCACTGCTCAAATAAAAAGCATTCCAGACCAGTTAAACTCTGACGGAAGACTCAACCTGAAGCATTTCAAAACCCAACCCAAGTCACAGCCCCACTACAAAGCCAGCTTTTAGATGTGGCAGTCTGGCTTCTACTGCTTTAGCAACCTCCAATTAAACAAAATCCCATGACTTCCACTCTTCTCAAATTCTGCACAGAAAAAACAAAACTTAAAAAAAACTTAAAAAAGAACAGTATAAGACAGGGAAAAGGCAAAAATACGTATTTGGAGTTCACAGAAGGAGGCTCTTTTAAACCTTTTATATCAATATGAAGTGATGTAACACAATGAGAAAAAATCTGAGCTAACTTTGAGTAAAATACTTTGAGACACAGCAGCCCTGTGCCTGCAGCATCATGGTGCGTGGGGACGCTAATTGGGCTTAGTCTAAATACTGCAACGACATGGGCTATCCTACCTCAAAGACACATTGCAGAGTCTCTACACAGTACAGCACTGTGCCGGTACCTAAAACAGCCTGATTGGGTATGGCTTGGATATCTAGACACAGCACTGCGCTGAACTGGGTGGACATATCTATGCATTTGGCTGATACACCTTCATTTTATCCTCTGAGGTTTTCTGGATTTAGCACTGCAATATTTAGAGGTAATAGATGACCTCCGCAGGTGGGAGTCCCCTGTAATGATTAGATGTCTAGGTGGTCTAAGTCTGAACTAGTAACTAGCTCCCTTTTGAAGCAGCAAAGAGAAAACAGCACCTCTAGGGTCTCTCCACTGACCAAGAATGGAATCTTGAGCGGTTCGGCGTGTCAAAAGTTAGGAAGTTAAATCTTAAAACTTCACTGCCTTTCAGTATCTTCACCTCTTCCAGCTACTTCCCCTCAATGAAATCAGAGGGTGTATCTCAGTCACTCCTAGTCCTGTATCAGATTTCATTGATTTTTAATATAATATTCTTACAAATATTCTTACCTGTGGCCTGACGACTGACTCTCATTTTTCTTGAGTGACCTTTCTCTCTTCTCTTTTCCAGCCCCTGAATGTCTGTGAGGGACACTCACTTTAAGGCTTTTTTCATTGCTGTCTGTACCAGAGCTTGGAACTGATTTTCTTTCTTCTGCCTTGCTCCTCTCTTTTTCGGTCAGCAGTTTGGCAAAAGAGTCATCTGTATCTTTGGGGATGTTTCTGAGTTTTTCAGAGGCTGAACTTGTGTGTGAGCTTGACATAGTCTTTGATGCAAACTTTGTATCTACTTGTGTTGAAGATCCTTTACTTTCTTGAAAATCGGTACTTGGGACATTCAGGTCATTTTCTTCATGTTCTTCACCCTTGAGCTGTGCTGTGCTACTTATGCTAGTGGATAGTTTTGGAAGCCTCCTTTTTTGCAGATCCTAGAAATAAGCGTCATTAATACCATGGATTAAGATTTGAGCATCTTTAAATAAACACGAAAAGCAAAGGTCTATCATTAATTTCTGGCCTAAGACAAGGCTTCATTATTGGGAATCAAGTTAAATAGCAAGTCAGATCTTTTTAAAAATTATAATAAAGAAGAACAGACATGTACTTTTATTTAAAATTTTGACACTATTAAAGATGCTGTATACCTTTAAAAAACTGCTTTGTTTTACTCAAGATCACCAACAAAATGCCTCCTAAAAGCTTAATTTTGGGGTGGTACTCAACTCAGAGAAAAACAAGACATATAAGACATTTTACTGGAAAGACTGCTCACTACAGGTATCTAGTCTTTATTTCCAAATCAGATATTTAGAAAAATCCAACTAATTCATTGGACTTCCATATTCTCTTCAGTACTGTCTAAATGACATGTTTACAATATTTCAATTTCTCATTATTACACACGTAATTTTACACAGGGAAAGTTCCTGACTATATAAAAGCAGCATGAAGGAAAAAAAAAGAGGCAAGAATTTTAGAATTGTGTTTTGAAAACACTTACTGATGGAATATAGTGTGATTGGACCAATTTAGAAACATATTTCTAACTGGAAATAATTTTCAATTCTAAACTCCTACTGATTAAACATGGGGTTTCAGATAAACTTCAGTAAATCAGATACCCATGGCTAAGAAAACTCTGAAAGCTGTAGATACTGCTAAGGTAAAGAAAGCAATTTTCCTAGGAAAATGGAAAATCCCATCTGTCAAGAGATAAGAGATATCAAAAATGGAAAACACGTATAACGAATTTCTGTAACCTAAGATCACAGACATGCAGGGCATAGCTGAATGTAGTGGTTGTATCTGAAACAGACTGAATTTCTGACTTAACCAGAAACACTGCCCTAACTCACCACATATTTTCAGACTGCCGATTCAATGGATAAGCATGCAGCAGTCATTTTAATATTATTTGTAAGTTACTTTATCACAGAATGTTAGATATAAAATCCATAGCCAAGCCAAATATTTTGTAAACATTGGAAATCACCTCTGGTGAACTTGCTACTGGTCCAGCCATCATTCCTCTGACAATGAGACCAGACCTGAGCCTTGGCTTCTCCTTCACTGTGGATTTCATCTCCTCAGAAATCGTTCCTGCTTTTAAATCTTCTCGACTATCTTTTAATTTCTTATCCCCATCACAGGGTAAGTGGCTGTTGTGTATTGTCCCTGTGTGGCATTTTTCACTTCTGTGCTGATGTTTTCTGGATGGAAGGATTTTATCTAGTGGATTCTCAGCATCATATCTACAAGGAAGAAAAAGGCAAAACTTCAAACAGCAAAGTGATGCACAATTAAATCAATGAAAACATCTGCTTGGCTAAATAAAGCACTGCTGTCAAAGTTACTTGTTATCTAGCAATAGTACTCAAATACAATCACTTTTCACTTAAACATCTATACGTAGGTCTTCAGAACATTATTTCAGTATCATTATTATGTGTCACAATTGGTTATAATATGTGTAACACCTTAATTTTACGCTTACTTATTTTGATATGTACCATATCACGAACAGAAAGCAAACTATATATATCATACCAGACAGGTCCTAAGCTACCACCAGCAGTTCCCATTCCTTCTCCATTTCCTTGGTTGGCAATTTGAAAATTTGTTAACGCTTTTGCTAACACTCTCTTTTATCATATAACTTTGACTGACTCTATGGACCTCTTTCACTCTTTGTTCAAAAGCAGAACGCTTATCTTAGTTCAAAAAGAAAGGTACTTTTGTATTTGGCCTTTTACTTGACAACAGGTTGCTACATTGCTGTCATTTGACCTCTTCCATATGTTTCAGCCTGGTCCCTCCAGCTAGCAACACAAGGTGTAGTTCATTGTTTGCATCGGGTTTCCTACACATATATGATGCTATAAATAAGCTTTTCTGAATAGCATGTGAGATTCACCTGGATCTGTGATTTCATTTGTACAACACTATATGCATTTCTTTCTTAAAGGTATCTTTAAACAAATCATGTTCTTACTAAAAAAGAAGTAATTTATGTCTCTAAGAAATCGAGTCCAATTGTCTTCATCAGGATCTGTTTCACTGTCTGCGTAATATTAGACCACTGTTAAATCAAAGTTCTTCTATTAAGTCGTTCCCACCACTGAGACCTCTTTTCTGTCAGTTGATAAATTTATATTCTGTTTTTCACTGCAGGATGTTTTTCTCCACCCTATTTCATTGTAAAGCAATTCCATGATTTGAAGCATCTTGTATCACAAAAACATTCCCTTATTTAACTAGTTGCAAATTGTTTTTTTGAAGTACTATGTCTTGTGTTGTGAAGACACACTGCATATGTAAACTGAAGGGAGCACGATCAGTCTCTGGGAACACTATGAAATCTGAGGACTGTTCCTCCTGACCTGGGACCATGTAACCCCTTACTGCCAAAGGGCACAGCGTGTCAGCCTAGACACTGTTTTAACAGTTACAGACATTCAAAAAAACTTCAAAAGCTAAAAGGAAAGAGGAGTCTTTTAATAAGGAACCAGTGAAGAGTCTAATTATACTTTCCCCTCCTGAAAGCGTTGTTAAAAATTACCCAAGCAGTTGAAAAGAAAACTAATTTCAGGCACTGGCTGGTTGACCTGGTAATGCTTGACTTTCCCTTGGCCAGAGGGGATGGAAATGGCCAGGAGGCTCACAGAGCCGTGCTTCTGTCACAGGGTTTCTCTCACCAGTTCATTTTGTGGGCAGAAACAGGACGCGGCTGAACCAACCAGGCAGCCTGCCCAGGACAGCCTGCTTTCTCCCAGGCACCAACCTGGCCTTTATCTCCCGTAGCCCTGCCCAAGAGATAACCACTGCGGTGGCCACAATGGGTGCATGTAGTCATGATGGCTGCACCTGGCTAAATGTGGTTTGGGGAGACAGATAACAACACAATAGCCAAGGGTGAACTTGAGCAATACTGGCACTGTGGTTAATATGCAAATATGACTATAGGTCAGTCATCTTACCCCCATAAATAGTGAACAGCCCAAGAGCCCTTTGAGCTCTTCTGCATGGCAGTGGGCAGCACGCCACGATCTCCCCTTGAGGTGGGATGCCCTCAAGGTTATTCCTCAAGGTTCAGAGACTCCTTGCCGCAACAGATCCTGGGCAAAGTGACTAACAGCATGCTAAACTTTGAAATCTTAGCTAAGTAATATAAAGGATTGATTGCGCATATATAATCCTCTAGACATAAACCATTGACCAAGTCTGGGACTAGGATTGGATCCAGCCGCACCCAGACTCCTCTCTGAGAAGGAATTTAGGAAGCAAGAGGGGGTCCTCTCTGAAGCTCCACTCAATGGGAGGGTCTCCCCGACAGCTCTGACCCTGTCCTCCATGCAGTAAGTAACCAAGTGTGCCTTGCCATCGGATCTTGTCAAAACACCGTCGCATTTACTATCAAACTTTGCAAAAATCCCTGTTTTATATCAATAAATGTATCGCTGCTACAAGCGAAGTGCGTCACTCCGTCCGTGACACAGCCCTCGCTATGGCCACTTTGCAGCCTCTCCCTACGGCCATGCGGTAGAAATGCAGCCCAGCTGCGCGGCTGGGACAGGACCTCATCCCAGGGGAAGACGGAGCCCCCCACCCAGCAGTGCCTCCCTGTGTCCCAGGATCAGGTTCTCAGCTGGTTTCAGAAAAAAACTCCGTTACAAATACTGATTTATGTCAGAACAGGCCCCGAAAACCACCTTCCCCTGTCTCACACGCTCGCTGTATTTTTCCTTCCTTGCACCTCCAGCCAACTTTGGCCTCTCCCACCTCAGGAAGACATAACCGGTGAGGCTGGTGCTTATGAAGGCATGAAAATACATACAAAAATCACGGAATTAGATGGAAACGTTCAAGTCAGTACAGGGCTTTGCCCTTTCCAGAGCTGGCAGCTTTCAGTGTGTGGCTGGGTAACGTTTCCAAGCTTGTACATACACAAAAAAGTTGGGCATTTCTGGTCTTCGCTCTCTAATTTTCCTTTAATCTGCCATTTTTGGCTCCCCCCTGCCCCACTGGCTGGGGCAGTACCAGAAAATACTTGGTCCCTCGAGGGCCAGTGCCAGCACCATGTTGGCGAGGGGTCCCTCCTCACAGCACCGCACCCGCTCCCCTCACCAACCCACGTCACTTTTTGCGTGTAGGGCTTTTACTTTGCCTCTTTGCATTTGTGTGTTCATGTATGTGTGTGAGGGGGTGTGTTTGTGTGTGTGTGTGTGTGCGCGGGATCAACTCAACAACCACACTGCGCATTTCTTTCCCGCCAGTGGAGGCCTAAAACCATAGAGTGCCCTCCAGCGCGCGGCAGAGCGACCCCGTAACGGCACCACTTCCGGGGCAATGGCGGCCACTCTGGGCCAGCAGCCGCGCGCTCGCTGGTGGGGTTGGGGTTGGGGTTGGGGTTGGGGTTGGGGTTGGGGTTGGTGGTGGACTCTTCTCTAGGAGAAGGCTTTTTTTCTGTAATATTAAAGGTCTGCAGGCACTGGGGAGGATCGGAGGGGGAATGGAACAACTAGTGCTTAGGGGAAGGGGAGAAAATGAGGCAGGTACGGCCTCTGAGGCAGCGTGAGGTGGAATTGTCTCCTAACAGGGGGAGAGAAGATCACTGACAGCATGCGAAAAACTCCTACATCAGAAAAAGAGATGTTGTTGATGCTAGTTGTTATTTTGCACTGCCTCCTTTTCAAGTGTCGCTTCTCAGCTGGCAGCATCAACTCTCAAAATCTTGGCTTTCTTCCCCTATAAGGAAGGACTTGCTGGGGTTTTGCAAGGACTGATGCTCAGACTTAGCTACTTTGAGGATGCTGTGTTTAGGATGAGGAGTTAAAATTAGATTAATTCCCCGACAGTCAAGGCTAGGAGGGTGAATGACTCTGTTGTGCTGATTTTAAAAGCTTTCTATTGAAGCACAGTTAGGGCTATTACTCCACCTTGAGGCACTAACAAATGCAATTGGAAGACTTGGTTACATGCTGTTTTCAGATACTTTGCAGCATGGAAATTGCTGAACCTATACTGTTCATAACAATGCTGAACTTACAATAGTAGGCCCTGGTTTTGACTCTAAGGCATGAATATACCTGTAGTTTGAGTGCAGGTGGTTAGTCTCTCATCAGAATATGATCAATTTGAGTGTTTCCAGTTTACAAGGCATAAAAGGTCAGATTTCCATGTGCTTCACTGACTGAAAGATGTGATTATCAATATTTGTAATTGGTAGGGAACATAAAAGAGCATTTTTGAAGGGTGATTTGCATAGGAGATTTTAATAATCTAGAAAGTTAAGATTTGTGTTACTAGGATAACTAATAAAAGGCAATATAGCTGAAGGTAAATGATAAAACTTTTAACATTATTTCCCTTAATTAAAAAAAAAAAAAAAATAGTGACTAGTGTGGGCAAAGAGAAAGAAATGAGACTGTACCTGTAGCCTTGAGTTTTGCTTTCATCGAGCGTAGTGGCACTCCCACGCATGTGGTCTTCATCCGAAAAGTCGGGTGGATGAGATGCTGCACTCTTACTTTGAGGAGCTGAGAGAGCAGAACTTGAACTGATGCTTCTAGAAGTCGCACGGTGCTCAAGGAAGTAATTAGTAATAATTTCAAGAAGTGTTTTCAGTGGGTTCTCCTTTGCCTATCCAAAAAGAAAAGTTCTTGGTGACTATTGAAACTCTTTGTTAAGTTTTGCTGCAGCCTAAAATAGGATTATTTTTTTAACACTGTACAGTAACTGAACACGTTAACTGCTTTCTAGAGATAGCTGCTTGTGGGTTTACCCTTGGATGTGACTATGAACAATATGGGAAGGTCAAAGATGTCAGCTAGGGAATGTCAAGAGCTCAAAGGTGTTGCTGTGTTAAATGAAGCAAGTATTGATCCAGAAGCAACAACCTGTTTCCGTCATCCCTTATTCTCGGTTTGGATAAACGTTGCTAAGTATGGTAACTGTGCTAGAATACAGCCTTTCCGATGTTACCTGGTCAGCTTCAGAAGAATGTACAAGGAACTGCAAATATTTTTAGTACCTGACTTCAGTATTTGTGATTCATTTTATCAGAACTTGGTGGGAAGTATGGACTCTAGAACTGTATTCATAGAATCATGGAATCATAGAATGGTTTAGGTTGGAAGGGACCTTAAAGCTAGTTCCAACCCCCCTCCCATGGGCAGGGACACCTCCCACTAGACCAGGTTGCTCAAAGCCCCATCCAACCTGGCCTTGAACACCTCCAAGGATGAGGCAGCTGCAGCTTCTCTGGGCAACCTGGGTCACTGCCTTACCACCCTCGGACTGAAATTTTTTTTCCTAATATCTAAATCTACTTTTTTCTAGTTTGAAGCCATTCCTCCTCATCCTATCAATGTCCTGTCATGTGCTTGAGATAACTTCATTATAGCGCAATGCCCTATATGACTTTCTGTATGTTTTTTCTACAGTACTCCAAAAAATGTGTCCAGTGTACATGAGCATCTCATTAAAAAAAATAATAATAAAAAAAAAAAACGAACCCACAAACATAAAACACCATAGAAGTTTAGGGCTTAAGTAAAAAATGCTGCAGTGTCTGCTATAGTGATGTAACTACACTGATTCTTTTTTCAAGTGACATTACTAGATACTCTCATGCTGCTTACCAAAAGCATTGTGGTGCTTTAAGTCGTGAGCTGACAGTACTGGGTCTGGGGACTAAATTGAAATTACCCATTTATGTCCTTGACACCTGTTATTGCTGTCTCTATTACATTTCAAAGAATAATAAATGCTGGAAGTGTAATTTTACCTGCCAGGTCTTATATAAAAGTTGCAAATAGAACTGGGCATGTAAGGTTACTTCCAAAATTGAACAATCTAGCCATAATGATGGAAAAGATGTTAAGAGTGAATAACTGTTCCTGGTTTATTGGAGGCTGGAGTTAGTAAGAAGGGTTCATGAACTGGCAGGTTCTCAGCTTTGTCCCATGAGCTGTAATCTCACCTAAATGTTATACTGTCCATTCCTCAGAGAACTCTCGGTGCATCCACAGCTATGTGGTACCAGACACCAACTTGAGCTCTCTGCAGTTTGGATGTACACTACGGTCTTGATCTGGTTGGCCCAGTTTCATGGGATCTGATACCAAATTGGGGGGGGCGTGATCTGTTTCCTTACCTTGTTGTGTTTGTACAAGGAGTGCAGATGTAGGACATTTCGAAGTTCATTCCTGTTATTGATGCTAAGGGCAGAGCGTGGAAGCTCCCGGTCCATGGTAGTGATGGTTTTCTTCAAACCCTGGGAAGGAAAAGTGTCAGATTTCAGAGTACCTGAGACAGTACAACTTACCAAAGCTTTTATTCTTGACTTTGTTGAATGTAGTATGAAACTTCTGGATGGCAGTAATTACTTAACAAGCTAACCCTTAGAACTTGTACTTTAGTGGTACAATCTTACATTATTACAGCCCACAGATGTGAAAATAATTAAGGTGGCTGTGTTGTCTGTGAGGCGGAAATTACTGAACATAAAAAAAAAAAAAAAAAAA